CGGCTGCTGCCCCGGCCCCGGCCGCTCCCTGCTTGATGGACGAGAGTTGGTTTGTCACCCCTCCCCCCTGTTTTACTGCAGAGGAGCCCGGCCCCGACGGCGTGGGGAGCAGCCCCATGGAGGACCTGCTCATCGAGCACCCCAGCATGTCGGTGTACGTGACCAGCACCCTCGAGGTGGACGGGGAGGGCCCCGAGGACGAAGCCGCAGAGTGAGTGCACTGAGAGGGTGTTGGGGGGGCAGCAGCCCCAGCACCCACTGAGGGACCAGCGCTGGTCCTGCCATCCCAAATCCCTGCCCACACCCAGGAATGTTTCACCCACGGACAGAGTGTGGCAGTGGGGGACATCAATGCCCCACACCCACCTCAGGGAACACTGCATATGTGGCAGGGTGCCCCAGCTGTCACCATGCATGGCTGGCAGCCCCCGTGTCCAAAACCCTCTGCCAAGGGGTCTCAGTAGCATATTCGGATGGCCATGGCTGCAGGACACGAGCTTGGCACAAAGACAGGGCTGCATTCGTCTCTCCTGTCCTTAGCAGGGTCTCCTGGCACGGCCACCTCTGCCAAGGCCACTCCTGCCAATGCCAGTGCCACCTGTCACCTGTCCAGGGGGAGTTGCCAGGCAGGGATTACACCAGGGGTTTGCATAGGCATGGCCCAAGCAAAGCAAGCCCAGTGGGACAGGGCGGCCTTTGGGCACAATGGCCCCTGAAGACCCCCTGGTCCCTTAGGCAGGAGGGTGCTGCAGCCCCCCTCAATCACGTGCCTGTTCCCAGACTGGCCCAGCATGGGGGTGGGTGTCCCACAGCTGTGGGGAGTGGGACACTTCTCCTTGCCCCAAACCCCAGCTCAGCAGTGGGGAAATCAAACAGAAATGTCCCAAATAGCCCCTTTGCCCCCCAGGCCTGTGGGCTGGAGCCCTCCACACCCATTTCTGGGGCCACATCCTGGAGCTCTGTCCTCCCCCAGGGCTGCTGTCCCCTGCCCTGCAGCCCCCAGGGAAAGCCTGGACCGTGCCCACACTCAGCCCCACTGCTGCTGGACAAGCCCTGGCTGCCAAGGGGGTGCCATGGGGTCCCTGCTCTCCCCCAGTCCCAGCCCTCCAACACCTTCCCTGCAGCTCCTCAGTGGGGCAAGGGTGGAGTAAGAATTTGGGGTGAGCTTTGCTCCAGGCCAGGAGACTGCTCCTTGTTAGGGGCCAGCATTTCTAGTTAGAGGACAGCATTCCTAGTTGGGGGATGCTATTCTTGGCTAGAGAACACCATTCCTGGTTAGGTGACACTGGTCCTGCCTAGTGGACAGCATTCCTGTCTAGGTGACACCATTCCTTCAGGACCTGTCTCTTTCCCAAGTCACCCTGAGGGCCAGAGCTTGATGTCCAGAGTGGACAGAGTGTTCTGGAGCGCCTCAGTGCTGGAGGGGGGCAGAGAAGGGCTAAAGATAGCCAAGACTCCAGAGGGATCACTGTGGGATGGAGACAGACCAGGCTAAAGGGGCTCAGATGCAGTGGAGTTCTTGGTGGTGTCTTGATTTTTTCGGGTGTCCCAGAGCCAGCCTTGCTGGAGCACTGCTCTGCTCGGCAGGTGGG